GCTGCTCTGATTGGGTGTTTCCTGCTACCTTGTCTTCCAAGTCTCTGATTTGATTCTCTGCTTCATCTAACTTATTGTTGATTCTCTCTAGCATATTCTTCATTTCAGATATTGTGTTCTTAATTTCCGACTGGTTCATTTTTATGGTTTCTGTGTTCTTTTCTATTTACTGTCTCTTTGAGTTCTCACTGAGTTTGTCCACTCTCCCCCTAAGTTCCTCAAGCACCCTTATAATCATTGTTTTGAGCTCTGTATCTGGTGGATTGTTGTCCATTTTATTTAGTTCTTTTTCTGGGGATTTCTCCTGTTCTGTCATGTGGGTGTTTGTCTCCCCATTTTGACTGCCTCTGTATTTGTTTCTGTATATTAGGTAGCTCTGCTATGCCTCCCAGGCCTGGTATGGTGCCCTTAAATGGTAGGTGTCCTGTGGGGTTCAGTAGCATAGTCTCCCTTATCACCTGAGCAAGGTGCTCTAGGAATATCCCTTGTGGGGCTTATATGAACCTTCCAGCTATAGTTGAGTCTTGATTGCTATTGGCTTGTCTGTGGGTGGGGTTGACCCTCAGGCTGGCTGACTATGAGGATTGACTATGAGCTGCTGTGCAGGGGCTGATCCACAAAGCCTAATTTGCCCCAGCAGAGTCTTTTGCCTACTGAGACCTCCCTTTGGCTATGCCACTGTGGAGCTAATTGCATTGAATTCTGATATAGTCTGAATCTTGCCATGGGGTATGTTGATTCTGGGGCTTCTTGGGAGGAACTCTGGTGCTGATTGATGTCAGGTGCTGCTTGTCACTGGGCTACCTGTTTGGAGGTATAAAACTATCTACAGTTTGTGGCTGCATCTGCTATGCCTGAGTGTACGTGAGAGGGGCCAGGCTTTGCACCAAGGTCGGCTTCCACCAGCACTGGGGTGGGGGGTGGGGGGATGTCAACAAAAGGCCCAAGGCTCCCTGTGATCCTCCTCTGCCTTCTGCCTGTTAGGCTTAGTCACTGAAAGAGCCTCTGGCGGTAAGCGAATTGCATGAGGTAGGTCGGTGAGTCACCAGGTAGGGGTGAATGGTGTTCACCAGATTGATACAGAATCAAATTTGGTGCTGGTGCTGGATCTGCGGTCACTCAGCAAAAGTCTCAGGGTACGCCAAGGCCGGCCACCACCATGGATCTTTGTGGTGGGGAGGGGTCTCAGGGAGTTGTCAGGGTGAGGCCAGCAGAGTTTATGAGGCCCAAACAGACCAAGATTTGGCCATGTGAAGGGAGAGCTCTGCACAGGGATGGTAGTGCTGGTCAGGTGTGTGAGGAAAAAATGGATCCTGCCTTAGAGCCACACAGCTCAGTCTCTCTTGGAGTTGTCCTAGACCTCCTTGAGAGGTTTCCAAGAGACTCTGTACCAAGGGCCCAAGCTGGCCATAGCCAGCTGACTCCTATGCAGAGGGCAAGTTCAGCAGGGCAGGGCCACTAGGAGTCTGGAGGGTGGGGTTAGTGCATCCCTGCAGGCTGATGCAATGTGGAAGGGAGTGCTCAACCCAGGAAAGATGGCATCTGTGGGTGGTGTGGGAGAGGGACGCAACACAGGGACCCTGGTGGCTGTCCCTCTAGCTCTCTCCTCAAAGCCACACAACCCATTCTGTCCACACACAACTTCAGTCTGCTTCCATCCATCTTCCTGTCAGAGCCCAGGGTGAGTGTCACAAATGAGATTTTTGTGCTGGCCCTTTAAGAAGGTGCTTGGGTTGCTAGCTGGCTCCTGTCTCTCCCTGGCTGACAGAACCCCCGCTGTATTTCACAACCAGGTGTTATGTGGGGCTGTGGTCTCTGAGCCCCCAAGGTGGCTCGCCTGGCTCTCAGCAATGTAAATTTTCAAGAATAACCACGGACTCCTTGCTGCAATCCCCCCCTCCCCCGGCACTGCCCTCACCCACCCAGCACCCCTCACACATCACACCTGCCCAGGTCAGCTCCCAAGAGGGGCGGCCAGCCTCTGAAGCCCCAAGCCTCCTGTGCCCATCACAGTGTTCTAGGCTGGCCAATGGCCATCTGGCTGCCACCTGGTGGGCAGGTTTACTTTGCTGTCTGTTGGGAAGTGTGTGGACATTGAGTTGGGCCCTAATGTTGGACAATCTCCTGGGCACAGGTGTGGGGCCCGCTGTCTCACCCTGTTGCAGGGCTCCTTCCAAGGGATTGTGTTCAGCTAGATTTGGGTGACCCTCTGCCAGAAGCTGGCCCATGCTTCCCGCACCCAAGGCTCAGGGCTCTTTCCACGGCAAGCACATTGAGATAGCTGCACAGCCAGGGAACAGTTTGGAGCCTTCCCAGTGCTTCCTTTGTTCACTTTATTTGTTCTCACTCACTGACTGGGTGAAGTGCCCCCGCCAGGTACTGCTGTGCCAATCACTTCCTCCAAACTGGAAGCTAAAGGTCCTGTGAAGGAACGAGAGAAGTAAAGTGTGGCTATGGGTCACAGTGCTGGGGCAGGCCCTCTGGCGCAGGACCCCCAGCAGCGTCTGGAAGGGTGAGGTGAGTTCTGCTGGGAGGCGTCTGCCAGCCTGTGGCTCAGAGGATGCCCTGTGCAGGTTATCAAACCCCAGAAGTCAACTCTTCTTAATAAACACAGTTCTATTTAAAGTACTGGCTGAGGGCTTTGTGAAAATCCTCCCAATGTTACCTCTTTTTTCAGTGGAAGAAACTGAGGCACAGAGAAGGCTGGTGCCCAGGTCACTGAAGGGAAGCCCCGATCTATGCTGCCCCATTCGCCCCACTTCTATGATCACAGTTTCCTTATGAACCACCTGGGCTACAGTTCATCTGTTTCTTTTTTCTTTTAAATGAAAATATTTTTCTTTCTAAATAAATGTATTGAAAATTTATCCAGATCCTAAGTAATAAAAGTATCACCAAAAGTGGGAACTAGTTAATTATTAAGATGAATCCAGTTACAGCACAACACTGGCTCGCACCCACGGGCACTGCTGCCTGCCTGGCGAGTGGGGCCCGAGAGGAGTGGCGGGCCTGTGAGCACAGTGAAGCCACCCCAGTGGCAAACTGAGACAGGACTTAATATATTCAGTAAAATTAAAAAAAATAACCCAGAAAGGAGGGACTTCCCTCCTGTGATGTGATGTTAGTAGTGCTGTACCCACCGCAGCTGTTCAATCTGCAGACCCACCCCAGCGGAGACTGGTCAAAGTCTGCCACTCACCCATGTGGGACCTTGCTTTCCCCTAACTTAGGGGGCTTGAGAAGAGGACAGCAAAGGCTAGAGCAGGGCTTGCGAATCAAAGCCACAAGGACCAGGGCCCAGGCCCTGAGGCAGGAAGTCTCACCACACAAGCCACTTTGGGTAACTGCCAAGAGCCCAGATCCAGGTGCAGCAGGCAGAGACTGGAACCCACAACTGAAGTGTGTCATTAGAAGGGAGCAGAGGCCTCCCATGGAGAGTGCATTTGCCAGGAGAATAGGGCTGGGTGGGGTGAGGGCTGAAGACTTGGCTGCAAACTCCAGATGTGGGGTTTGGAGGGGGTGCAGGGTGAGTAGAGCAGGCTGGCCCCAGTGCACCAGACTTGGAGTCTGAGAATGAGGTCGAATTCCATTTGCTATCTTGTCCTGCCTCTCAGAGCCCAAGAGAGTTAATGGGGGGTGGGGGGACACCCCTCCTCCCCCCAGGTCTGTGTCACCACCCGCTAGCTCTGCAGCCTCAGAAAAGGTTAGGGACAGCCCCCCCCCCCC